AATAAATAAATAACAGAGAGAATAATAATAATAATAACAGTTATTCTCTCTATGCTATTTTTCAATGTTTCAAGTGATGCAGGTGTATTTTTCCCTGTAGGTTTTTTTAAATTAAAAAAAGTTTTTTTTTTTTATAGGTTTAAAGGGGGGTGCGACCAAAAAAGTAGTTGTTAAATAAAAATGTCATTCATATCAATTCATGCATCACCTAATTTCATCGTAACATATAGGCCTGGCCTACAGAAAAGAACATTTATGTTTAATCTGTCTAATAGTGTGTTGGGCGTACTATACAATGATTTATAGCTTGTCTTTGTTGAATAATACAGAACATAAAGAGCTTTAAAAAATAATTGCATATTAAATCGCAATCGCAATATTGGTAAATACAATCGCAATTAGATTATTTTCCAAAATCGTTCAGCCCTAAAATAAACACACCTGAACCAGCTAATCAAGCTCTGGTGTGTTGAGGCAAGTTGGAGCTAAACTCTGCAGGACACCGGCCCTCCAGGATCCAGTTTGGAGACCCCTGGCCTAGGGCCTCGGGCTTTGAGGAGGGTCTCTCTCACTTCCACTTGATTTGTGTATATAGTGCATATTTAATGTAGCAATGCAATACATAGCAGCTAGTTTATTAAGCGCACAGAGCAACCACCCAATAAAGCATTACAATAATCTAATCTTGAGGTCATGATCGCATGAATTAATGCTTCTGCATTTGACATTTAGAGCATATGTTAGAGATATTTTTTTAGATGGAAAAATGCAGTATTACAAATGCTAGAAACATGGTTTTCAAAGGAAAGATTGCTATAAAATAGCACACCTAGGTTCCTAACTGATGACAAAGAATTAACAGAGCAGCCATCAAGTGTTAGACAGTATTCTAGTTTATTACATGCAGAGGTTTTTGGTAAGTAATTAACAACTCAACTTTTTTTTCATAATTTAGTAATAGAAAATTACTAGTAATCCAATTTTTTTTCAACTATGCATTCTGTTAGTTTTGTGAATTGGTATGTTTCATCAGGCTGTGAAGAAATATAAAGCTGAGTATCATCAACAGTGAAAACTAACACCATGTTTCCTGATGATATCTTCCAACGATAGCATGTACAAGCATGTGCAACGGTCCTAGTACTGAGCTTTGTGGAACGCCATACTGTATTTGTGATTGATATGATATCTCTTTCATTTACCGCTACACACTAATGACGGTCAGATAAGTATGATTTCAACCATGCCAATGCAATTCCACTAATGCCAACATAATTTTTGAGGTTATTCAAAAGAATGTTGTGGTTGATAGTGTCAAAAGTAGCGCTAATAACATCCTGACTTGTAACATAATGATTACATTTATAGGGGAATGTTCCAAATTATGTATGTAATTGTCTCTTATTAGAATAAAGGCTTACAGAAAATGGGGACTCTTTTGTAATAGATCAATTTATTGTTGATTATCTAGGTATCAGATACCTCATTTGGTTGGGAGGGACTTATTCAGCAATAAATAGAGCATAATTTCTGAGCACAATCTTAGTCAGCTAGATACTCTTCATAGACTGCTGGTGTGTATTAATTTTCGTATCTACATTAGCACATTTTTGTTTGTAATGTTTTGTCAGGGCATAATATTCCTCATGTGAATAATATATTGGATAAATTATAAATCTAGCAATTGTTTAGAAACTAATATTTATAATACTATTTATTTATTATATAAAACATATTATTTTGTTTAGAAGCAGATAACTTCTGAATTGTGAAGGTCTTCTGTGAGGTTGATGCATTGATGGATTCCAGGTGAGTTGAATGTGTATGCACTCTCTACAGCAGGTGGAATTATAATTGGAATGAAAAAAAAAGTACAGTATTTAAACAGTTTCGCTATAAATTTGCTAAACTCTCTGCACAAAACTTTAAAACGATCACACTTGTAACAAAGCTCTTTGTTGAAAAAGACTTAAAGTAGCTGTGCTACTGTTCTTTAATTATTGTTGGATGTTTCCTATCACAAAATCACAATATCAGTGTAAATGGCATGTTCTACACTAAAACACAACATAATAAACCAAGTGAGTTTGTTGATAATTAAGTGCTGCTAGCTTAAATTATATTATCAATATTGATTGATTTATTTATTTATTTTTAATATACATAAATGAAGACATGCAATTGAAAAGTTTTTATTAACTGCATTAAAAACTTGACAATTTAATTAGGTGGCAATTGATCAATCTATCAAATGGACTATATGCCGTTTCTTTGTGTAAATGAGGACGAGAAATTGAAAAGTATTCCTTCATATGCTGAGATGATGTTTTTATGTCTTAATCAGGATGGCCATACGTGTGATTTTGTTACTAACACTTTTTACTGGGCTGTGTGTTGCTAATTTGAAAGGTACGTTTAGAATAATAATAGTAAAAATGCCTGGATTTAAAAATCTGTAATCGCTGTGTCTTCATATTACATATCAATCAGATTAAATTATTAAAATTATATGGTAATTGAAATCTTGTGATTGATTGATTTGTTTGTATTGCTTTGAAGCTGTCTTATCATTTTTTTTTTTATTGACTGTACAGGCAATATTGCTCTTAATGCCAGAGTGGTGCAGTCCTCCTTAGGACACCCACAGGGAGATGCTGAACATGCAGTAGATGGAAACAGAGACGCAAATTACGCGAAGGGCTCATGTACCTACACTAAACCTGAGTTTAATCCATGGTGGAGAGCTGACCTTGGAAACATCTACAGTATAAGCAATGTTGCCATCACTAATCGTGGAGACTGTTGCAAAGAGCGACTCCGAGGAGCTCAGATTCGTATTGGTAACAAGCTGGAGAACAACGGAAACAACAATGAGCTGTAAGAAATGTTTCAAATGTTTTATCATCTTCCGATGTTTATGATGCTCGATCTGGTTTAACTAGGGTGACCATACATTCTCTTTTTCCTGGACATGTCCTCTTTTTGGACCTAAAAAAACATTTCTAAATCATCAAAAATGTCTGGGATTCAGCTTTTGTTTTCTACACAAGTGTTAGTGTTCTTAGTTGCATTAATCTGAAAGTGGGACCAAAGTATTTCATGTAATTCAAATATAATTAGCCTAAATAAAATGCCTCAAGTTGGAGGTACAATCTGAGCTGTTATTTTGTCTAAACTCTTATAGGTACAGATCTTGTGTTTCATCAGGCCTGTGGTCAGGGATCTTGGGCTCAAGAAGTTTGGTGAGCACTGTCTTACACTGTCAGATCATAATGTACAATGCAAGTAAACTGAAAATCCCTAAACAAACCACTCTAGGATTTGAGTTGTATTCATGTACTGTTCAACAGTATATTTACTGATAAATGTAATAATGTACTTCAGTATCATAAAAAAAAGATATTGATAAATGATTAATGTCACTGTAAAAAGTGTGTGTTCTCAGTGTAAACAGTATTCATTTATTTGTGTACTTCTGGGTTGTGTTTCTTCCTCATTAAATAAGGAAGAACCAAGTGGTCAATAAATATACAACCACGGCAGTTTGTGACATAGTCATGAAATTGAATCTATTATTTCTTGTCCATGGACATGGATTTCCCTTTTTTTGTGTAAGTCATCGCGACATTCGATCGAATGTAGTTCAATAGGAAGTATATTTCGTGCCAGCACCACATTTTTCTTTCTGCCACTCAGAAGCACAGATGCTGTATTGTTTTTTCTCATTTGTAATGCATTTTTTAAATTTTTAAGTGCTATTTCTCAACATGTAATCAGGAGATTTTACCCTTGTTTTTATTGCTTTATATTCTGTAGGCTACTCACTATTTCAAACCATCGTCAGTGGTTCCTTCCACACTGTTAATACTTTTTCTTGTAATTTTGTTGTAACTTACTGGCACCACTATTGCCAGTAAGTAACTGCAACTGCCCCTTTACTGTATCTTACCGCAATTCCATTTTAGAGTATAATGCCCTTATCACAATTTAATTTTACAGTATAATGCCCTCACTGCAATTTAATTTTACAGTATACTGATCTTACCACAATTTCATTTTACAGTAAAAAAAAACTCACCACAACTTAATTTTACAGTACTGTATCCTCACTGTTACTTAGTTTTACAGTATTTTACTATTACAGTATTACAGTATTTTTTCTGTAATTTATATTACACTATTTATTTTACAAAACCTTTGAATATTTTTCATGAATGCCATTGCATTTATTCCAAATAAGTGACTTAAGTCCATGTACAACAATATATTTTTTATTCACTGTCACTACCAAATACATCCATTACTTGGGCGTCTGGGGCTCAGGCCAGGGGCTCAGTCTGTCTCTGTAAAAGTGGAGAGAAAACACACATTAGTCTCTCATTCAAGGAGTATGCAATTCAACCGGCATGGTTTTCCTCCTGGCTTTTAAAGCTGTCCCGAATGTGCTCCAGGTGTGCTGGCCATCACGCTCAGGTGTTCGCCGTGAAGGAGCGGCATTTCCAGGGCGACGCTGCTCTGCCCTCGGGATACTCGCCACAATAAATATAAGCAGTCACACAAAAAAAACATCAAAGCTATGATCTCATGAATTTATATCACTTTTTCCTTTTGACTTTGTGAAGGGCTCATATACTGTCCACTTTTGCTACTTTTGGCTTTCATAAACATTTTTTTTTTTTACATCACATTTTGCATCCC